ATGGTGGATGTGGAGATGGAAACTGAGCAGAATGCATAGCTAAGCGTAACAACGGGCACTCACAACAGGGCTTTGAAGGAGCAGCTTGCTATCAAGGTCTGTTTGTTTCCTACACACCCGCTTCCCTGGATTGAACTCCTGTGGATTGTTTTCATTTGGGTATTTTGGCATAAGTGGAATGAAATTTCAGACTCTTGCCTGGATAATTCTTTCATGTCAGTTAGATTAAGGTGGGGAAGTGAATCCTTGGAAAACTGCATTTTCTAAGGGTTAATATTATTCTGGTTAGTTATGCTGATAGTGTATACGCATGTAAGTGGGATTGAACCCTTTCACTGCTGGGTTACTGCCTCTGACCTCACCCCATCCATCACAGTCCCTCTGCTACCAGTCTCTTCTCCATCATTCTTATTCTCTTGAACATGCCAATCCCCTATGGTTCCCTTCCTTCTCCAGCCCCTGCCACCTTCTTTGGGATTAAGATGTAGAAACACCACCACCACCACCCTTCCTTTGCATCCAACTAACTTTTAAGTCTGTGGAACTCCCTCCCCCAATGTCATTTCAAGTTAAAACTGCATTAGGTGATCTTCCGCACCCTGATAAAGGTTTTCGGTAAAATGTCTGCATTTTGGCCATTCCTATTTGGGTTTAATGTTAGAAACCTTACCCTATAGCAATATTAGCCAACTGAGAGAGCCATTGGAGCGAGTTCTCTCCTAAAACAGTTCGCTGGTAGTGGCTTCTATAGTTGACATCTGTCCAAGGTAAACTGGTTAAAGAGAAGAGGGTCACCTGTTTCTCCGCTCTGTGGGATGTGCTCATAGCTAGCAAGTGTTTCTTCTTTGCTTACACACGTTTCCCTTGACTGAATTATAACTTTCTTTATTCACAATATTTTCATCTTACTCAGCCTTATTACTTGATACACTTTAATTATTCTGCAGTCCACTACAACTTACTTGTATTCCGGGGTGTGTCTCTTGTTTCTGCTGTTGGTGTTGGAACTTATTTTCTAACATTGGGGTTGGCAGAAGAGGCCAACGGTACAGTTATCCCTGGTGACAAAAACCTCTAGTAAAGAGCAAGTTGTCTGTCAGACACCCCGGTCCTATTTCCTCCTGTGTGCCTGCTTCCTTATTTCCTGATGCTTTTATTTTCCTTTTTAAGTCTTCCCACATTCTGGCTTTTAAAACCATTAATTCCTCTGGCAGGGAGTGTTGGGTGATCCCTACATCTAAAAGTTTTCTGCCACCACTAACCAAATGAACCTGAATGCATCACCTCGGCCTGTCTACAGGGAGGCCCAAGGTCTCTCCCGTAGCTGAGACTCCATCGTTGCAGTACAAATGATCCCTGTGGCTTTATGTAATCTTGTCCTTACGGGTGGCCTGAAGAGAAGGAAATAAAATAGGTTTGTGCCTTTTTAAAATTTTATTTCATGACATCTTTACACATTACAGACTTATTTTAAAAAACGTTTTGTTTTGCCTTTGAAATACTACAAAAATTGGGTTTTTGTCTTGCTCATGTCTTGAGGACGCAGAAATGTAGATTGAAAGCTTCTTCAGCCCTTACTTTGAGACATGGTATTGGGGGGTGGGGGGAGCTAGATAGTTAGATTCAACTTTTGTTTAAGTTTTGATATCTGTTTCACTCAAATAAAGAACAAAACTGGACAGTTTGAACAAAACTAATTTCCTCTCTGAATTAAGCAGGTTTCACCAACAGCCTTCTTTATAAATCATAAGGAGGAGGAAGAACACAGATCTAAGAGTTTTTCCTTTACAGATAAACTTCAAACGTATCCTCTGTTAATAACGGACAAACACAAGCCCTCTTTGGCATTTGCCAGTTCTAGTTAACGGTCCAGATATTCAACTTCCTGTTCCATAGGGGTCAATTCACTAGGCTGTACTCTAGGAAACTTACTCTTTCTTTTGAGCAGATGTTAAAAAACTCACTTGTATTTATTGCCCCAATTGGAAATAAAACCTTAAGTTTATTTCAGTAAACTTATGACAAGTCAATATTGAAACTGGAGCAAAATCAATTCTGTGTGTAAAAGATAAAAAACGCATGCTGTGGTTAAGTGTCTCTGCAGGCATTGCATACAGAAAACTGATTTCCTCCCATCTTGTTACGGTGATACAGAGAGGAAATGCCCTGGCCTTATCGCAATTCCATTATGTCAAGCAACTTCTCAAGAGCCAGGGTAGCAGCTTGGAGAAAACTGCACCAGCTGCTGTGGAGTTTCTTCTCTGTCTGGGGAGATGCTGACTGCCTTGTGTGAATAATTACCATTAACCTGTCTCAAACCAGTGCTGATTGTAACTGGCCGGAGGCTTCCAGCCAAACAATTACTTACCCTGCCTGTCAGGCAGAGAGAGGGGGAAGTGTTCATTTTAAAAGGCAGTGCCTGTGTCATTTCACAGCATTTTTGGCTTCATGTGCAGATATTATTATTAAGGAAATCACTAGCACAGTTTTCAGTTCCTAACAATGAAGCAATTAATCTGATTTTATTGAGAGAGTTGGTTTGTGTTTTATTTTTATATATGTTTAGTCACCCTGGAACAATGTCTTCCAAATTGTGGTCATATGTAATAGAAGCAAAAAACAAATCAGGCTGTGTGTGTGTTTGTATTCATGTTCCATGCCAGCTATTTCATTCCTGTCCCATCAGCTGCTTACTTTCCTGATTTGCCACATGTAAAACTTGCCAATAGTTCAATGTAGTCAAAACATAACACAGTAGAACCTCAGAATTACAAACTGGCCAGTCAACCATGCAGCTCATTTGAACCAGAAGTACGCAATCAGGCGCAGCAGCAGAGACACAGAAAAATCAGCACAGTACTGTGTTAAACATAAACTACTAAAACATCAAGGGAAAGTGGGTTTTTTTTAAAGATTTGACAAGAAAACTGTTTCTGTGCTTGTTTCGTTTAAATTAAGATGGTGAAAAGCAACATTTTTCTTCTGCATAGTTAAGTTTCAAAGCTGTATTAAGTCAATGTAAACTTTTGAAAGAACAACCATAATGTTTTGTTCAGAGTTACAAACATTTCAGAGTTACAAACAACCTCCGTTCCTGTTCGTAACTCTCAGGTTCTACTGTATAACAAACATGCAGTTTTTTATCCCCCCCCCCCCCCCCACCCCATTTTACATTTTCCCCTTTCAGCTGAAAAGAGCAAAGTTGTTTTCAGATGTCTCTTCACATGTTATATAGACCAAACAGTGTTTACACAGGTGGAGTCATTTGAGAACAATTGGAGGTTCATTAGTTCTGGCACAGATTGCCCTTAGCTTTATTTAGCTTCTTAGCATGAATTACACCAAATCACTGGTTTTCTTAAATAAATTACAGCTACCAGATTTTACCCGTTGGGAATCTGAAACATTTTTCAGAGTCAACAATTTGGACTATGGCACAATTATACTCTGAGAATACCTTGTTGGTTTTTCCCAATTGTTTTGTTTTCATCTGTACCAAATTGCATAAATTACATGCTATTGTTTTATATATAGCCAATCTTAGAATCAACTCAGTGTATTAAACATGTACCAAGTTTAAATATAATGATCGTTGCTATGGTTCTAAAATCAGTGGTCCACAAACTTTTTATGTTGCGTTCCCCTTACCCTTAATGAAATCTGTCAGCGCCCCAGCAGGAACAGGGCTGTGAGCGAGGTTAGAGGCCGAGAGCCACGGTTGGAGCAGGGCTGTGTGGCTCTCCCTCCGGGGGCTGCCCCAGGCCCTGCTGCACCCCACCCTCCCAAATGTTCCTCTGTGCCCCCCCGTTTGGGGACCACTGTTCTAAATGAATGTATGCATTCTTACTGTGTTTCTGAAATAGTGAGGAGGAGTCCCTTTCATCTGGTATCGGTACAGCAGGTGCAAAGTTAATGTTCCACTGTATCCCACTTAACAAAATGGAAGTTTATATCTGACCACAGTTTCAAAACAAAAATACCCAATTATCTTGTTAACTCCTCAATATTCTCTTTAAGTTCTCTATTAAACCATGATTAACTCGCTTATCAAATCCCTACAATGGTTTGAGAAGAATTTATTGAATTACCAAAGGAAACAATGACCTAGCTTGCTCCTCTTTTTAAAAAAAAAAAAAATTTTCTTTGCTGTTTGTATTATCCAGCATCATTCTGTTAATTTCAAAATGTTCTTTCACAGCGTTTCCCAAACTTTTTTGGCCACGGAACACTTTTTAGCCTGTTACGGAACACTTATATTATTTTGTAGTCGTTTGGTTTTCAAATAAAAAAATTGTGTTATTTATGCTCAAATATATTTTATTTTATAAAACAAAGCAAAAATACAAATTTAAAATAACTTGAACTAACAATTTCTAACTGGAAAGTGCAGATAAAGTAGTACAAAAATCAAGTGCAAGAGTCAAAATTAAAAACAGTGTTCTACTTAAAAAAAACTGTTTTTTATATATACACAAACACCTAACAAATTAGATTTTTACTAGGAAAATCTATTTTTATAAACAGAAATACACATTTGGATGTAATGGGATTGGTCTTTCTGCATTTTTCTATCACAAATTCGCTTAATATTAGGAATAATGCTGGAAAGTTGAATCCTCATGTCAGGCACAGCATCAAGTCTATTCCTATGTTTGGGTTTTGTTGCAATATAATATGGAAATCCCGCGCCATGGTATTCAATACGAGACCTATCAATAACCGGAATAAGAGTTTTATGTTAAATTATAGTCATTCAAGAAGAGTTGTAAACTACGCTTCAAATATGCCAAATTTAAAATAAAAAAAAAATGTAAAGACCCTTTTCTTAATTAGGATTCTTTCACGGACCACCTATTCACATGGTGCGGCACACCAGTGTTCCGCGGCACACAGTTTGGGAAATGCTCTTCTATCACAATCGGTTAGTGTGTAACCTGGTCATAGGTACTTCTGGAAAGGAGACTTCAGGAATGAAAAAATAAACGTCTTTTCTGTTGCAGGGTTTCTTGGATAATCCAGCAGTAAACCACCAAATTGTTTTGCGCCTGTTACGTTCTATCATCCGCCTCATTTGGAGACTGCAGTAATGGATGCGTACAGACATTCCGAGATTGTCCAGTTATCACCAGAATCCAGAAAAACAAGCAGCAGGAATATCCTTTCCATACCTTGTATATGCAATTAACAAATCCTCCTCTTCCTAAAGGACATCCGAGACACTGGGAGGAGCAGTAGGACTCCGTGTTTGTGAAAAATATGCACATAGACTGTCTCATTTTGTCTGCTATCAGAAGACAGAGGGTTTTTAAATGGGAATTCACTGTGAACACGTCACGATGGATTTTGGAAACGGATATCTAAAAGCTTTGTGAAGCAGGACTTTGTGAGAGTGGTGTTTACGCTGGTTTTTCTTGAACTTTTAAAAGACTGATTTGGAAAGAAAATGATCCAACATTATTGAATGATTTTCATACTCCATTTTCTGGAAACCTGTTGACTAATCTCTGATCTATTCTGCAATGGAGTTAACTGAGCCAGCGAACTTGCAGAGCTGCCTTAGTTTGTTATAAAATAACTGTGTACAGATGTTATTCTCCCCCCCCCCCCCCCAGCAAGGAGGGGTCAGATTCATGCTTTCCCTCCATTCCTAGCCCCTTTCATGCAAAAAGGGGCAAACTCATGAATTGAAGCTAGTTGAAGAATGGTAGAAGGATTTGCATCAGAACTTCAGTTACCCTGCAAATCTCTACTACCACCCTAAATTCAACTGTATGTGTGTCACACAAACAGCATACTTCCTGCTGACTGATTTTAAACTGCAGCTAAGCGCAACTGGCGCGCTCCCCCTGAAACTTCCACCTCTTCCACCCTACCAGCAGGAGTCTCAAAGTGGACCTGAAATTTGCAGCTTAACTGTGAAAGTATTATGCTTCAAAAACCATACCAAGTTGCCTTTCTAAAAGTTCTTTATATCCAATGAGTCTGGCTACATTTGTGTATTATATAACATAGAATGTTGAAGGTTGGGGATAACAGAACAATAAAATATTTGTGGTGTAAAAGAGTTCCTGAAACACTGCAATTTTGCCTAAAGTTGGAGGGTTGCATAACTTCAGAAACTATTTTAAACTTCACTTAATATTTTACTGTGACTGTTGATAAACCCAATTGGTATTGCTGGTTTTTTAATGTGTTGGATTTTTGCTAGAGCTGGTTTTGTACTTAAGATCTATCCTGAGAGATGCAGAGTTGAACATGTGGACTGCTGACTGAGTTACATCCGTCTTGAGGGCAACAGTACAATGTTTGAATTGATTGTGGTGGTTCAAAAAATCCCACAAGTGAATAAATTAAATATCCATGGGAAGCAAAAATTAGGCCATTTTGAAAGTTCCAGCAAAACTTCCATATAATCTTTTAAAATAATACAGTGAGTGCCCTTAAAATTGTATTCCTACATCAGACATTCTGTGACTTGTTTAAAGATTAACCAAAACCAGAACTAAGTTAAATCAAGGTTCCTATACTGGAGTGACTCGCTAACTAGATTTCAGGAGGCATCCAGCACAGAGAAAGTTTTAACTTACCTTTTCTTTAATTAGATCTTCCTTCTACAGAACTCCCTTTACCGCTTCTTAGTTCACTGAAGTTATTCCAGAAGGCATCATTCTGTGAAACCACAAATGCCATGGATTGCATGACTTGTACACTTCTGGTATTTAGAACATAACAGAATGATGCATTCTGTAACAACTTCAGTGACCCAAGAAGTGCCAAGAGGACTTCACAGAAAGAAAAACTTTATTTTTAATTTTTAAGTGTGTATATTGAATGCCTCCCTGAGCCTGTTGCGTGGGCACTGTAACCACAGATCTAGGTTTAAACTGAATTTTAATATTGGTTTTATAGTTCACCTTTACACCATGGGAAACTGCATGACAGGTGCTTTGGGGAGCGCACAGTTCCTTCAGATGGTGCAATGTATTAATGCAGAATTTACCCAAATCTGGCTTCAGAATTGTCTTCAGAATCTGGCTTCCTTTTGTATGGGATGCAGAGAGCTTGCATGATTCAATTTGTTTCTGTTTGCTACAATCTACTTCAAAATGCCGCATTTTATTTCTGGTTTCACCAGCACCATAGAAAAATAGGATAGCTTTTCTTCCAAAACGTTGCAATATGTTGATCAGCGTATACTGAGTGCCATTGTATTTTTTTTTGTTAGTTTTGACAAGTAAATTTGTATAACATGTACTCTCTGCACTGACCCCTGGTGCCTCTGGGGCAGGTGGAAGGGTTCCTCTAAACATGGCTCTGTTCCCCAGTTGCATTAATCCACCCCCGCGAGCAGTGAATCTGGAGGACATGTTGGCTCTGTAGGCTAAACCTTTGTCCTAGGAGTTGGCCTCAATTATCAAAGCAGTGGGTGGTTTTTGGTTTTTTTGTAGAGCAATATTGGTGACTTACGTTGTATCTGGAGTTTCAAGCAGTAATTCAGTAGTGCTGATGGCAGATAATCACTTCCATAACAGCATGGTTTTGGATCATACCAAAGCAGTAGGCGTAAAGGGGAATTCAGAACATCCTACATGTAGTGAATTGAGCGGGTATAAATGTATGGTCAGTAAAGAGTTCTCACTGCTACCGGATGCTAGAAGTGAGAATAAGACTGGAGGGGCCTATGAGACAATGACTTTTGTTCCATTTTGAACATTCCTCACATGTCAGAGTCACACAGCCATTAAATAGCTTAGACAAAAATCAGATTTTCCAACACTAGATGTTGCAGTCATCTTTTGAACAGAATTGGACCCTAGCCACGTCTTGGAACGACGTTACAGTTGATCAGGTGGTTTCAGGTATGAGTCTTGAAACCCCCTCCTGAGGCCACATTGTCCACTAGTTGTCATGACAGAGTAGAGCTAGTTCTGACATTTGGAATTGCGCTATGCACCTTTCCGAACACACCAAAGACATTTCTGTTTACAGCACCCCCCCCCCCACCCCACACACACACACACACACTTCTACAATTGGCGCAGGCGTGCGCGCACACACACGCTTCTACAAGTGGAGCACTTTATTTCAGTTCTTTTAAATATAGTGCCCTTGGGAGAGTTGGCATCAGTACAACATATCTTCTCCCTCTCCATCCCACCTCTTAATAAGGCTCTGCTGGCCCAGTGCCTGGAGACTTGGGTGCTTTCTTTGTACATTTACCTCTGGCATGGTAGTGCAACAGGTTTGCCACCACACCATGGCTTCAGACTAGCTTACTATAAGCGTAATAAATGATTTAAAAAACAATTCTGTGAATTATATGAACATTAAAGAACAAGATATTGGCACCATGTGACTTGGACTTCTCTGCACTCTTGTTTATCAGGAAGCTTCCTGCAGATGTTTTTACATTATGTATTTTAAAAAAATAACTAAAACTAATCCCATTGTTTTTGACAATTTAAAACTGGTTTTGTGCCTTGGCAACCTCTCTACCCAGGTTAGATTTGTGGGTGGTTATTGAGTTTGTTTCTTAAATCTCAACATAACATTAAAAACAGTTATACTTTTGCTACATTGTTAGTGGATGAATTTCTTTTAATTCCATATAATCCATACTCTACCCTGCCAAAACTACTTTATGAAGAATTTTCTTTGGTTGTGGAGAAACCAGATTGAAATTTTTCCTACAAAACTTGTATGATACGGTATTATGCTTTTTCTCCTTCAATAATTGTAAATATTTGAGTATTTATTAGATTAGGGCATCATATTATTCTTATAATCTGAGCCAAATGTCTGTGTGCAATGTTTTGTTTCTTTTCTTACTATGTCATGTAAAGTTTTGTACAGCTTATAAAGTAAATTACTGTTTTTCTAAGTCTTTTTTAGAATTGAACTTGGTAAATACTGTAGATTCTTTTTTCTGTGTAATTAATGCACTCTACTGTTCCATAATGCTGTAACTTGTAGAAATGTTGTATATTTATTTTCTGCTTATTTAAGTTCCTGTAAAGTTTTTAATGAATTTTTACTGGTATATATGGAATTAGTGATTGATCAGTTTAGAGCACTGTCTTCTAATTCAGTGCAATCAATAACGTTTAGTTACTGAGTAAAATGTTCAAAAGTGCCTAAGTGACTTAGGCTCCTAAGTCCCATTTTCAAGAGAGGCTGTGAAGTACCTAAGTCAAAGTCTCACAAAGTGCAGGGGACTTGGGTTTCTGTGTGCCTAAAGTCTCTCTTGAAAATTGTATCCACAATTTAATCCCCCATTTCGGCCACTTTTAACTTTCTGGACTCAATGATTCAGCACTGTATGTAGAGGCAGAGATTTGAAGTAAAATATGATATGGAGATGCAAACTCAGCCAAACACCAAAGCCACATCCAGAATCTCTTTGTCGCTCAAAGCATTAATTTGTTACAAATAACTTTATCGGTCTAAGCAAAACATTATCATCCCAAGGGGCCAAGGGCAGTTTATTCAAACATATTATTAAACTGAAGTGCAGTAGTCTCAGTTAATCACTTTTTCAAGATCTAGATAATGTGCCAATCCCCCACCTTCTCATTCTCCACTGCCTTCAGATTTCACCCTCCCTGTGTTCCTCCTGAATCTGGCTGCCTCACTTCATTGCTTCAGCCAGTTGCCAGAATTAAAAATTATGCTGTAGATTTCAGTTCGATAACTTGATAGTGCTTCCCGGTAACTCAATAATAACCCTATTTTGGGATATTAAACACCTTATCCTCAGTTTACATAGTGCAGGACATGGCTGTTACCTCTTAAACAAGAAGCCCCTGCAAGTTATTTATAGAACTACTTTCTACTTTGATTTTTAGAGTAAACTTTTCATCCTGGTTTCAAGACCACTCATTACTGTAGCAAAGCTCCTTATCAGGTACAAACATAGCACTGATCATGTACTGATTAATCACTAACTTGTTTCATAGGACCCAGCATATGTAGCATTTTTATTGCAGTTTCCCTGGCTTACTTGTGGTTTGCACTGATGAATTTTTGACAGGGTAATTGCCACTTTACTTGTGCAATACGGCTGTACATAGCTACAGATCTTTTTTAAGATGCAATCTTTTATGTTTATTATATAAAATTCATTAAACTTTCATCTATTTGTGATGAGTATTATTTTGCTCAAATTCAAAATTTTATGCTCTTCTGAGATAAGATGTATGGAATTGTAGATGGGGCTTTAATTCTCTGTCTCTGATACTTGCACATACATGGACCTGTGCAAGTACCACTCACTTTCCCAGGCATTTTAACCTTGCTTAATTTAAACATTTTCCATCTCCTTATTTGGGATGGAGTTTGGAAGAGCACACCTTTTTTCATATCACATTTCAACCATACACTTGGAATGTCTTTGTTAAATGTTTCCATGGTGCGCTGAATTCCCACACTCTTCTCCGTACACAGACTGCTACCGTCCCTGTGATGAGAACCTCACCTCAGGAACGAGTGACACTGCCGCTCTCAAAGGCAAGTGTGGGTTTGCATTCAGCCGTTGCTCTTCCACCCGCGCACAGGGAGTATCAAACACCCTCGTTATGTCACGTGGACTGGCATGGAATTAAATAGCTGGGTGGGGGGATAGTTCAGTGGGGTTTGGAGCAGGCCCCTAATGAGCTAGGGGAGGAACTAGAGTGCGTCAATAACATTTGTACATGACACTCATTTTACAGGAGTTGTGAATGCCACAGAGGACAAAATTAATACAAATGGGCTCTTGTGATGAGCAAGATGGGCAGAAAAAGCGACTAAGATTCAACTGGGAAATCTGCAAGTTCATACATTGGGGGAACATAATCACATGCAGCCTAGGCAAAGATGGACACAGCCCAAATCCCTGCTGAGAACTGATTCTCCTGACCAAGCCAAAGCCTGAATTTAGCTCCAGGAGTAATTCTAGATCCTATCTGCTGGATGAAGGTGTGGGTCCCAGCATCTTGCAGAGAGGCAGGACGAGAGTCTCACATTTTTTATACTGCAAGTGACCATGACTTGGATTTTATATAACACAGGAAAAGTCAGTGATTGGTTTTCAGCTGTGGATTGTAGGGAGGAATAGGAATGTCAGAGGTGCCCTGAGGGGTTCAGGTATGAAAGTGCAAAGCCAAAAGTGGGAGAAGGAAACCGTGGTTAGGTGGGAGCCTTTGCAGGGACGGGCATCAGGGTGATGCGAGTCCTGAGCCATACGGGCGAGGGAAGATCTTGAAAGGATGATGCTGAGCGTGGCCTTGCTGGGGAATGTGACGTGGTCAGTGGCAGGATGGAGGTAGGTAACATCAGAGGCAGGAAGGGAGCAAGCCCGGAGGCAGAGAAGATGCCGGCACGGCAAAGGGTTCCAGCAATAGGATCGGGGGCAGATGTGGAATATGGTGCACCGGAAGAACAGGATTTGGCACCAGCCAGCATGTGGGGTGACAGGAAGAAGTCAGATCCGGAAGAAAGGGCTGGGGTGGATTGTGGATGAAAAATGAGACTTTAGTAGGGGGTCATTCAGGATGAGAGGACAGAGCAGCAAGCATGTGCTGATGGGCTGAGGGCAGGAGTGAGCTGGCAGGTTTGGAAGTCATTTGCACAGAGGCAGTCAGCCAGAGATAATGTGTAAAGGAGGTACGGGGTGGGGGCCTCAGCAGAGCCTGTGCAAAGGGAAATGGGGGGGGGGTGGGGAGGGAGAATCAGCTGAACGAGGAGAGCAAAAAAACCATGTAAAGGGAACTTTGATCTGACCTAAGTTGGTTCTGTGAGGGGCTGGGTTTCGGCTAGCGGTGCCCTGCCACTGGGTGGGTCCGAACCCCGAGCACTAGCTGGGTGATTTTTGGACTGCCGTACTCAAGCCCCACCTAGGCAGCTTTCGTGCACGGGAAGCTCCACTGTCCACATGCCAATGGTACATGAGGAACAGCTGGAGCCCCAGGGGGCCACACAACAGATTTCCTGGCCGAAAGCCGATTCACTGTTGGGCCAGGCGGAGGCTGCGATGTCGGAGACACTTTGCAAAGCCCGAAGGGACAAGGACTGCCCTTCTCTGCAGTCAGCGTGGAGGCCAGACGGAGGTGGAGAACATGGAGGCCAGATGTCAGGGTTCTACCAACCTAGGGAGGGCCAAGCTCTTGCTGTATCTGAAGGGAGGTTACTGGCCAGGGTCCTGTGAAGTCAAGCTAGAAAGGAGACAAAAGGGAATAGCCGGAGCGGCAGTAGTTAGCTCAGTCTCCCCGGCCAGGTAATGTTCCCTGGAAACTCAGGCCACAGCGGGCAGGGGGTTTATGAGCTGAATGGCCTATGCAGCACCTCAGCGTGGGTCCAAGGAGGGATATTCCACACCGATTTTGCCAAAATTGGTTGTAATGGCTGTATGGTGGTGGGAAAGCAACGTGTCCTAAGCTCTTACTGCTGAGCCACGCCTCCTGTGTGCAGAAACACAGCGCTAGCACTAACCCCAGAAGCTGCAAGACCTGGTACAAAAGAGCAGAGTTTGCCCTTGTACTCCAGAGCACTACACAAAGCTGAAAATATATCCCCGGGGAGCAGTGCAGGCGCTGGAGGCAGATTGCTTTCTGGCCCTGAGCAGCGTCAGCCACCTGCTAAGAGCCCTAGTTATTTCAAGGTTTGCTCCACACAAACCTGGCCTTTAGATATAATTTATGTGGGGTGAACCGGCCCCTGCTTGGACATCAGACCTGACTCCCTTGTCCTGCGAGGCCTCGTGGAAGCCCTGGGGATCAGCGAGGGGCAGGGGGGGAAGGCATAGGGAAGCGAGTCTGACCTGTTGCTGGAAAATGCAACCAGTGTCCAGCCAGGGACATCTCTCATTCTGGGGCAGAATGTTGAAAGCTGGTTCTGGCAGGAGGCCGAGAGAGCCACGCAGGTCCTGTTCCCAGACTCAGCTGCTTGAGTGGCTGTCGGTCCTGTTCAGGGCCTGCTCCCTGGGCCTGATGGTTTGGTGACTCACCCGTCCCCCT